GATAATTTTCTTGAACTCTCATTCTTCTCTTGATAAAGAGATTGTGAAAGGTTTTTTCCTTTGAGTAGTCTACCAGAAGGGTAGGAATTTTATGTTTCATCAAAATAGATTTCCTGTATTGTTTTTATCAGTTCTTTAATCATAAGTGATAAAGTTTTTCTTATAGCTATTTAATTTTCTGCGTTTGCCTGAAAATCTTTAATTGTCCTCGTGTTTAAATGGATAACTAAGCATTGTTTCATGGGAACCTAGGATATTATGTTGCTAAATGCTATTGATATAAGTGTTTTAAAAAATTATATAACATTCCTAAAATTCTGATCTCGGTTGTCAGTTTTAATTCTACTTATTATCTTAAAATGTTATATGTCACAGAAATAACTAAGATTCTTGTCAATTGCCATTTTTAAGTCTTTTGTCATTTATAGATGGTTATTGTTTCACTCTGATGCTTTTGCAAATATATTTCATCTTTAGAGAGATTCATGGAAAATACCCTGACACTTACTCTAGAATACAGGTTTCTGATAAACTTTCAGATCATAAGACTGAGTTGGGTAAGAAATTACAGAACTCTAATGGAGAAACTGATGATTTCATGCAACTGCTAAGAAAAGATCAAGAGTTGATTACACAGGGCTGAATGAACTGATGAGGATGATGAGGATGATTATAATTTTTATAACTTTGTTTGAAATATTGCTGAGTTTTTAATGTTTTGTTTTTCCAGATTTAGGAACCCCTTTTCTCTTAAGCTAACTATGACTTATAGCACTTTGGTAAATGATACCTTTGTAAGCAGAATTGAAACATTTATCTTTTTCTCCCTACCTGATCCATCTAGAATTTGGAAACTCTTAGTAATGGCAATATAGCTATCTGCATAAGTTCAGTAAGAATCTATCCTCCTTATAACAGGACACAATTGGAAACATTGGTTATATTACCAAAGCTTTGACTGGAATGTCACATTTGAGAGAAACATACAGACTCAGATATGACAAGACAGCTAAGGAACAAAGATTGGACTTTATGGAATAAAGCCACTTGGAAATATTGGCCTGGTGTCTTGTTTACAGGGTTTCCATCAACCTTAGCAGGTGTGTAAAGAAGGTCACTTTTCTGACGAGCAACCTCAGGATATTTTGGGGAACCTCAAGAGAAGAGAGGAATCTATCCAAATCTATTGGTAAAACTGGTGGAGTCTGATGACAAGTCCTTGGCTTTGCTTTCCTGTGAGAGGCCTTTAAAGCTCAACCTGAGATTCCTTATGAAAAGTTTCAGCAAAGCAGATTTAAAGGAGACTATATGATCAATTGCTATTCTTGCTGTACTTATGTAAATAATTGGGCCAAGTTTAATGGAACTAGACTTATTTTACAAACCAATTAGTCTTAATTTGGCTATCTTTGGCAAAAAAATGAAGATGATTTTAGAGAGAAAAGTTATGTTTCAGTAGAAACTATAATACACAATTGTGTATATTAGATTCTAGTTCTATTATCTTTGAAGTTTCTGTTTTCTCTCTGTAAACTGGACTGGATCTTAAATTCGTCTAGTATCCTCAAATATCTGGATACAAATCTCCAAACTTACTAGCCAGAGAAGTAATACAGTGGGGGTATCAGGGGCCCCAGAGAACAAGTGGGTTATTAAACCTTTAAGCTACAAATTAGGTGGAAAACAGTTAACCCATTCCTTTCTATACATGCCAGAATGCCTTATTCCTTTGCAGGGTAGGGGTCTATTACATAATTAGGAGTCTCCATTTATTTGAAAGGGGACCAATTGGAAGCAAATGTCTCCTTAGCCTTTGATCACCAGCTGATAATGCTCCTGACAAAAGGGACTGAGTCAAACGATTTAAAGGGAGACAATGGAATTACTAGAGGCAAATCACCGAGTTTGGGCCCAAGGAACAGTGGGATATGCTGTCCAAGTGGACTCTATGATTGTCAAACTGAAATTTGGGGACAAGTGTCCAAATGTTAAACAATATGCTCTGAGACAGGATGCCCTAAACAGCATGGCCCCTGTCATAAAGAACTTGATTGATCAAGGCCTCATCAGGCCATGCAAATTGACATGCAACACTCCAATTCTTCCATTAAAAAAGCCAATTGGTGAATACCGGAGGCACATGAGAACAACTAGAGTATGCCTTTCAGGTAGAAGAAAGAGTGAAGGCACGCACAGCATATGGCAGGTCCTGCCAAGCCCCCATGGACCTGGCCCTCCATCCCTTTCAGCCCAGTGATTGGGTAAACCTAAAAACATGGAAAACTGGGAGCCCACAGGACCAGCTCACTCCTAAGTGGAACAGGCCTTATCTGGTGATTCTAACCACTCACTCTGCCCTCAAATTACAGGGAGTCATCCCTCGGGTGCAATATACCTGAGTCAAGAGAATCCCTGAACTGGAAGACTTGGAAACTCCAAGCCATCCTGATTTCTCCTATGAGCCCCTCTCAGACCTGATGCTCTTATTCTGGAGACACAAAGATAAGTCCTTGGTGGGCTGGCATCCCACCCCTGTGGAGGTTCTGGGACTCCTTCTTCTGTCATCTCTCATAACTATCCTTATCATCACCCTGACTTGTGCTCCCCTTGGAGTGCCTATATCTAAAGCACCACTAGGCTACAAAAAGGCTAATTGCTTAAACGAAAAAGGCCAACCAGAGCTAACAAAACAGATTTGGAATGGGGTTAAACAAGATCTTCCCAGCCTGACTTGGTTTCTACTACCCTTTGTGGGCCTCTGGTGGCTATTCTACTTCTTCTACTCTTTGGGTCTTGCATCCTAGACTGTCTCATTTCCTTTGTTAGCAACAGACTAGAATCTATTAAAATCCAAATGGTATTAACCCAGGGATATGAGAGGTTGGGGTTCCAACCTGGTGACAACCAAACATATCTAAAAGTTGCTAGGGGTAAATTCTGCTCCTCTTTGGGCCCTATAATTATGTCCCTGGCTAACTGGAAGTAGTTACAAAAGATGAGCCTTCGTCCATTGCTCCTCAAGAATGAGGAGCAGGACATAGTCAAAGGAGGGATTTTGTGACCCAGAGAAGTCCTGAAACATTTTCCATGTCTAATACTTTGTTTTTAAGTTGTGCTTGCTTATAGAAACCAAGGCAGAACATTGCTAGGTGGCCAAACCACAGAACAGATCCAAGTGAGACAGTTCCAAGATGGCGATGGGGCGCCATGTGCAAAGGGAAACGTGTGCAAAAGATGCCAGGTGCAAAAGGAAATGTGTGCAAAATGTGTCATGTGTAAGAAGGGAAGATCTACACACACCCCAAACGCCCCCACCCTGAGCAATGACTGGGAGACCCCTCCCCTTTCACTTCCCCTAAGAACTCTGCTTCCCTTCCCTTCAGGTAGAAGGTGTTTTAGAGCATGAACTCTGCCTCCTGCATTCATTGATGAATGAATAAAGTTTCTGCTCTGCTCTTCCAGACCTGGTCTTGTTTTATTGGCCTGAGCGGCTCCGGGCAAAAGGACTCACTTGCAGGTCCCTGGTCCCTTAGGGCTTGGTAACAATATCACAGTGATATCTTAAAATTAGTAGGTCCAAAATTGAACTCACCTTCCTCTCCATGGCTGCTCTCTCCTCCCTCCAATTTTGTTATCTTCTTTGGCTACCCTGTCTGAAGTTTCACTGCCCGCCCCCCACCATACTTCATATCTCCTTTCTCTGCTTGATTTATTTCCTACTTATCATTTATCACTATCCAATATATTATTTCACTTATTTAGCTTCCCTGCTAAAATGTTAACTTCATGAGGGCAGGAATTTTTGCCTGCTTTGTTCACAATGTATTCCCCAAAATTTGAACAGTGTCAGGCATCCAGTACATGAATAGTTATTCACCTACTCAGTGAATATTTATTGGATGACTTAACGAATTCTCCCTTCCACTGCCGGTTCCACTCCCTTCCACTCCCTCCCATTGCCAGTTAATCTAGTTAATTTTACATCTATGGTGACTCTTGCTTCTGTCCTTCTTCCTCTTGTCTTGTTTGTTCAACTGTCAGTTTTTTAGAAGTGTTGTAAGAACTCGCCACTTGGTGGCTAATGAAATTTGGGCAAGTTATTTAATTGTCTTTGTTCCTCATTTAGAAATGGGAACAATAATAGTACAGTCTCATAGGACTGTCATGAGGCTTATGTATACAACACGTGTACAGCATTTGGCTCAGTGCCTGGAACAGAATGAGCACTCAATGAATATTAGCTATTTGTATCTGCTACCCAAGGCTATTCCTGGGCTACCTTTCCTATCTCGTCTCCTGCCCTATCTGTCCCTGAATCCTCTACTTTGGCCTCAGTGGACCACCTGTGGTTCTCCAAACATGACGTGTTTTCCACATAACGACAGCAGGGAACAAGAAGCAGGCAGGATCAGCTAATTCCCTTCTCTCTGCCATATAAAGTACTGCTGGACTAGCCAGCCCCTGATTTGCCTCAGAGGAAGGGCGAGCTGGAGAACTCTTTTTTATTTTTTATAGTAAGCAAAATCCAAGAGGACTATTCCTAGTGTTTTAGTTGGGTTCAGAAGTTTTGGCTAAACTGAACCAAAGATTTTCAATATTTTAGATGAGAAGAGTGAGAATCTGGAAGAAGAAGTAACCTACCTGAGGTTACACAGCAAGATAGTAGCTGCTTTGATAAGATTATTTTCCTAATCTGTTTATACTACAACATGCTGGTCATAAACCCCAAAAAGTCTTATCTTAGAAAAGCTCATTTCCCGTGCCCCAGCAGATAATTCCCTTAATGGAGAAAGATTTGAAGTTGCTAATTCTGAAGCATCTCAGGCCTTTATCATTCTAAGTTGAGAGGAGGTGGCAGTTTATTGGGCACCACTGTGAGCCCCATCCGGTCCCTTGCCAGAGAGACAGACAGACACCTCTATATAGGTAATTTAGATTGAGCAAGCTGCATAAAACCAGGGAGTCACTCTGTGACTACATGGATCCGCTTCGGCATTTACCTGGAGCAAGGCAGAAGACAAGCGTGAGAGACTGGAACAGCCGGATCATGCTCTCCGCAGTGGCGACTGGTGCTGGAGACCTCAAGGCAGGCAGCGTTCTTGCTGTTTTTTGCCATAAATTGAAAGTGTTCTTACTGAGACTTCCCCTTCCTCTCAAAGGCGTGGTGAGACCTCCTTCCTCCCTCTTTACAGTCCTTATTTTATTTTTTTATTATTCTATGTATGTTTTTCTGAGCAAAGTACAAAGATCTTAAGTGTGCAATATGAATTGAAGTTTTCGTTTTCTATTTGTACACTTTTTTTCATTTTTTTGTATTTTTTTTACTGTGGTAAAACAACCTAAATTACATATTGTGGTTTTGTAAGCTAAAATTTGTTGTTTTAACTGTGCAATTCAGTGACATTAATTATATTCACAGTGTTGTGCAATCACCAGCATTATCTGTTTCCAAAACGTTTTCATTACCTGGGATATTGTGATATATAAGAAAAATATATTTGGTCGTTCAAATGACCAAATATGTGTTTCTCATGTATGTTTGGTCTTCCTCCACAGTTCCTGGATCACAGCTCCCGGCTCACAGCTCCCAAAATGCTTTGAATTTCCTGAGGGACTAGAGCAGTGGGAACATCTTTTGTTATACTGTTTGGTGTCTTGTCCTCAATTCCTGAAATCTCTTCAGAGCCATAGAGGGGAAATAGATGTCTTGCTATTCGTAGCAAGCCCCTTTCCCCCACAACTGGGTTTATGTTAATGAGGTGACTTTTGGACTGCACTTAAGGATGGAGGCTGTTTGCCAGGCAAGTATTCCCACCTCCTGACCTCTGGGGAGGCAAGAGGGGCTGGAGATTGAATCAGTCGCCAATAGCCAATGGTTTAATCAATCATGCCTTTCAAAATTTTATTTTATTATTTTTTTGAGATCACATTGGTTTATAACATTATATAAATTTCAGGTGTCCATCATTATATTTCAACATCTGTATAGACTACATCCTGTTCACCACCAAAAGTCTCGTCGCTATCCATCATCATACACGTGTGCCCTTTATGCCCTTTGCCCTCTGCCTGCCCTCTTTCCCTCTGGTAACCACCAATCTGTTCTCTGTATCTATGCCTTCTTTGTTTATTTATCTTTCACACAATGAGCCAAGTCGTAGGGTAATTGTCTTTCTTTGTCTGACTTAATTTGCTTTGCATTATACCAAGTTGTTGCAAATGGCATGATTTCATCTTTTTTATGGCTGAGTAGTATTCCATTGTATATATATACCACATCTTCTTTATCCATTCAACTGTTGATGGGCACTTAGGTTGCTTCCAAGTCTTGGCTATTGTGAATAATACTGCAATGAACATAAGGGTGCATATGTCTTTCGAATTAGTGCTTTTGTGTTCTTTGGATAAGTACCCAAAAGTGGAACGGCTGGATCATTTCTATTTTTAATTTTCTGAGGAATCTCCCTACTGTTTTCCATAGTGGCTGCACCACCAATTTACATTCTCAGCAGCAGGGTACGAGGGTTCCTTTTTCTTCACATGCTCTCCAACACTTGTTATTTCATGTGTTTTTAAGAATAGCCATTCAATCATGCCTTTCTAATGAAGCCTCCATAAAAACCCAAAAGAACAGCGTTCGGAAAGCTTGTGGGTTGGTGAACATGTGGAGATTTGGGGAGACTGGTGCCCTTGGAGAAGGCATGGAAGCTCTGTCCTCTTTCCCCATACCTTGCCCTATGCATCTCTTCCATCTGGCTTTTCCTGAGTTATATCCTTTCATAATAAAATGGTAATCTGGTGAGTAAGATGTTTCCCTGAGTTCTGTGAGCCACTCTAGCAAAATAATTGAACCCAAAGAGGGGGTCATTGGAACCTCCCATCTACAGCCAGTCGGTCAGAAATCCAGGTGATAACCTGCACTTGAGACTAGCATCTGAAATGGTGGTAGTAGGGGGTGTGGACAGCCTTGAGGGACTGAACCCTTAATGTGTGGAACCTGATTCTGTCTCCCAGTAGTGTCAGAACTAAGTTGAACTGTAGGACACCCAGCTAGTGTCAGAGAATTCCTTGTTGGTGTGGACCACCCTATGCCCTCACATTGGAATTGGGTGCAGAACATGATGTTACTCCAAACTGAATCCTTGTAACTGTCAAGCAACGATTCCCTATTTCCTCTTTCCCTCAGCCCCTGCTAAAGTAGTCTACTTCCTGTCTCTATGAATTTGCCTAAACTAGATACTATATGTAAGTGGAATCATACGGTATTTGCCATTTTGTGTTTGGCTTGTTTCACATAGCATAATGTCTTCAACGTTTATCCATATTATAGCATGTATCAGAATTTCATTCAATTTTTTATGGCTGAATAATATTCCATGATTTGTATATATCACATTTTCTTTATTCATTTATCTATTTATGGACAGTTGAGTTTTTTCTACCTTTTGCATTTTGTGAATAATACTGCAATGAACATTGGAGTACATGTATCTGTTTGAATCCCTACTTTCAATTCGTTTGAATATATACCTAGGAGTGGAATTGCTGGGTCATATGGTAATTCTATGTTTAGCTTTTTGAGGATCCACCAAACTGTTTTCTAGGCTGCACCATTTTACACTAGCACCAGCAACATGTAATTGTTCCAATTTCTCCATGTGCTTGTCAACATTTGTTGTTTTCTATGTTTTGGATAATAGCCATCCTGGTAGATGTTAAGTAATATCTCACTGTGGTTTTGGTTTGCATTTCTTTAGTGATTAGAGATGTTGAGCATCTTTTCATTTGCTTGTTGGCCATTTATATTTCTTCAGAGAAATGTATATAAAAGTCTCTTAAAATTTGTTCGTTTGGGTTTTGTTGTTGCTGTTATTGAGTTGTAGCAGTTCTTTTTATAGTCTAGATATTAATTCCTTATAAGATATATGATTTTCAAATATTTTCTTCCATTCTGTGGTTGTGTCACTAGATAGTGTCTTTTGATGCACAAAAGTTTTTAATTTTGATGAAGGCCAATTTATCTATTTTTCTCTTTTGTTGGCTGTGTTTTTGATGTCATATCCAAGAAATGATTGCCAAATCCAATGTTATGAAGATTTTCCCTTATGTTTTCTTCTAAGAGTTTTATAGTCCTAGCTCTTATATTTAGGTCTTTGATTCATTTGAGTTAATTTTTGTATATGGTAAGGTAATGGTCCCACTTCATTCTTTTCCATGTGGATATCCAGTTTTCCCAACACTATTGCTTGAAAAGAGTGTCCTTCCCTATTGAATGTTCTTGGCATCCTTGTCAAAAATCATTTGACCATCTACTCAAGGGCTTATTTCTGAGCTCTCTGTTTTATTCCGTTGGTCTCTATGTCTGTTTTATGCCTGTCCACACTGTTTTGATTAGTGTAGCTTTGTAGTAAGTTTTGAAACCAGGAAGTGTGAGTCCTCCAACTTTGTTCTTTTTCAAGATTGTTTTGGCCATTCAGAGTCCCTTGAGACTCCTATGAGTTTTAGGATGAGTTTTTCTATTTCTGCAAAAAACATTGTTGGGATTTTGATAGGGGTTGCATTGAATTTTTAGATCACTTTTGGTAGTATTGTCATTGTCACATTACTAAGTCTTTCAATTCACGGACATGGGATGTTTTCCATTTATTTTGTCTCCTTTAATTTCTTTGAGTAATGTTTTGTAATTTTCAGTGTTGAAGACTTTTGCCTTGTTGGTTAAGTTTATTCCTAAGTATTTTATTCTTTTTAATGCTATTATAAATGGAATTGTTTGCATAGTTTCCTGTTTATATTGTTCATTGTTAGTGTATGGAAACAACTGTGTGTTGAGTGTTAATTTTGTATCCTGCAACTTTGTTTAATTCATTTATTAGCTCTAATAATTTTTTTTTTTGTTTGTGGAATATTTAGGGTTTTCTATATATAAAATCATGTCATCTGGAAACAGAGATAATTTTACTTCTTCCATTCTAATTTGGATGCTTTTTCTTTCTTTCTTTCTTTCTTTCTTTTTTTTTGTGAGGAGATCAGCTCTGTGCTAACATCTGCCAATCCTCCTCTTTTTTTGGCAAGGAAGACTGGCCCTGGGCTAACATCCGTGCCCATCTTCCTCCACTTTATATGGGATGCCTCCACAGCATGGCTTGCCAAGCAGTGCGTCGGTGCGTAGCCGGGATCCGAACCGGCGAACCCTGTGCCGCCGGCAGCGGAGCGCACACACTTAACCTCTTGCACCACCAGGCCCGCCCAGCCTTTTATTTCTTTTTCTTGGCTAATTGTTCTGGCTAGAACTTCCAATATCCTGTTGAATAGAAGTGGTGAAAGTGGGCATCCTTATCTTCTTTGTGATCTTAAGGGAAAAGCTTTTAGTCTTTCACCATTGAGTATGATGTTAGCTGTGGGTTTTTCATATATGGCCTGTTATGGGCTGAATTACAGGTGTCTGACTTATGTATCCAATCAGTCATTTCAGTTGAAATCAGGAATAGAGATTGGGTTATCCAGGAAAGATCTGTGCAAGACCCTCTTGTCTGATGGCTTGGACCTCTGTGAATTGCCTGGGAGGTCAACAAGGTTTTTGAGAATTTTGTACCAGCAGAACTGCTGTCAGCTTGGACTGAAGAGGATAGAGACAGGACTAGATGAAGGAAGGCCATCAGACTTCTGAGATTCTACAAGAGAAGCCAACAGAGCTATCCAGCTGCAAACATGCATTTTCCACCAAGAAAAGGGAAAAATGATCCCAAAGGGGGTCAGGAGGTTGGCAGGGTTGATACTGCCACCATGGGCTCTAGTGCACAGGTGCATGGATCAGGGCTGTTTTATCCTCAGTTCCAGAGTGGTAGGGCCACTTCCCAGGGCTTAGAAAATGTACCTGGTGGGCCCAGAAGGCAGGGCCACCCAGGTAGATCCAGAGGACAGAGCATGAAGCCAAAGAGGAATAGTCTCAAGTCTTGAAATCTAATACAATTCTGTCCTGCTATGGTTTGCACTTGCTTGAGACCTGTGACTGCTTTCTTCTTTTATATTTCTCCGTTTGGAATGAAAATGTCTATCCTTTGTTTGTTCCACCATTGTATTTCGGGAGCATATAAGTTGACTGATTTTACAGGTTCACAGCTGGACAGGATTTTCCTTCAGGATGAATCACAGCTTGAGTTTCCTTCATACATGAGTTAGATGAGATTTAGAAGAGATTTTGGACTTAGATTTGATGTTGGAATGAGTTAAGACTTTTGGGGCTGTTGGCATGGAGGTGAATGATTTTGCTTTGAGAAGGACATGGATTTTGAGGGTGCAGAGGGCAGAAGGTTATAGGCTAAAATGTGTCCCCTTGAAATTTATATTTTGAAGTCCTAACCCCCAGTACCTCAGAATGTGACTGTATTTGGTGATAAGGTCTTTAAAAAGGTAATTAGGTTAAAGTAAGATCATATCAGTGGGCCCTAATCCAATATGTCTTGTGTTGACATACGGAGAAGATGGCCATCTACAAGCCAAAGAGAGGGGCTTCAGAATCAAACTAATGTTGGTAACTTTTAGCCTCCAGAATTCTGAGAAAATAAATTTCTGTTGTTTAAGCCACCTAGTCTATGGTACTTTGTTATAGCAGCCCTAGCAAACTAATACATGGCTTTTATTGTGTTGAAGGAATTTCCTTGTATTCCTAATGTGTTGGGTGTTTTTAATCATGAAAACTTGTATTGAATTTGGTCAAATACTTTTTCTGCATTAATTAAGATGATCATGTGTTTTTTTCTCCTTTATTCCATTACTGTATTCTATTACATTAATTGGTTTTTGTACGTTGAAACATCCTTGTATTCCAGGGGTAAATCCAATGGGGTATAATCATTTTAATATGCTGTTGAATTTGGTTTGCTACCATTTCGTCGAGGATTTTTGTATCAATATTCATAAAAGATATAGTTATGTAGTTTTATAAATGGATGTCACTGATGAAAGACTGGAAGGTGGGAGGAAGGGAGAAATGATTTTTTTTTCTTCATCTTGGTTTCTGATAATGTCTC